TTTCCAAAATGAGGGACCAGTTTCATTAAAAAATCATTTTGCATCCATCCATCATGTTCAAACAGAAATCTATCAGACTGAAAAGAGAAATCAAAAGGAGCAAAATAAATCAATTTGAGTCTGAGAATAAATGGAAAAACTAACATCTTTGATTAATACATTATTGCACGCTCAGAAGTTCATTAAACGTAAACGAATAATATATTGTTTGTGTAGATGTTGAGCTGGTCCTCGCTACAAAGTCAGCGCACGTGTCCAGTTGGTGACATACATCCATAAAAGAAAGCCTGTTATACAGACATGTGGGACAGCACTGCCAGCCCATGTGTTTAAACAGACAACTATAGAAAACTGGCCCAACTGTCCAGCATTGTTTGCCAACATGTGCTCAGGTTGTAAATTCAATTTAAACTGTAAATTGTGCCAAAATCCACAATAAAAAATGGATACCATTACCGCTAATTGTGTTCATTAAATGCATGACCAAGCCAGAGGTTCAAGCTGCTGTGGACTGCATATGGAATTGATTCATCTTACTATTAGAATTGTTACACCTGAATTATTCCAAACGTGGAAATAATGCGCCCAGAGGTCATTTGTGCAGCTATTTATAAAACTATTGACAAATTGGACAAGATTTGTGCACGAGTGGTCTCATAGTTGAACAGTTTTGATTGGCCATTAGCACTAAATAAATTACGTCAAATGTTGCTAAATGCCGGTAAAGCTGTGATGTTGGCAGCAACACTGTTTTTCCCCCCGCTAATACAGTCATATATTATCAGCTCTATCAGCACACACTCAGGGGAAAGAGTCAGAAGTGCTGGTGCTTAAGTGCAGGTTTGAAGTTTTACTATAAAAAGACAGCATTAAAGCTACAGTAGAGAGAGCTTTTTATGTTTCAGGGCTCGACAGTGCGACCATTTCGATAGATAGAATTTTGTTGTCATTATGACAAGCACAACGAAATAAAAAAGTGCCTTTACAGTCAGCGCATTAAAAAAAAGGACAATAAAACCTTAGACAGTAAAACTGAAAAACCAGTGCAGAGTCAAAACTAGTGAAAGAATTAAATCTACACCCATAAATACAGAGGCAACATATCATCTGGCTTTCATGGAGGCGTTAATGGAATGGACAACGTTTGGGAAAATGTTGTTTTGCAGTCTTTTTGTCCTGGCTTTCACTCGCATTTGTGACTAAAAATAGATGTGTGTGAATTGTAAAATGTATTTAGGGGCACATGTGCATATAAAAAAAATTAGCTGAGGCAACAAATGTTTTTTTTTTAAAACCGTGGTGAAGTAAGTTTTAGGTTGGATATTCGACGGACGTTCACTGGGGATCTACCGGTGTCTTCGAACGCTCCATAACCGGGAATGGTAACAGCAGCATGGTTAAATCTACTTGGCACCCTCGCTGTCAACATCGGGTGTTGAATAAAGGACCGTCAATAAACTACCAGTTGATGTTCTCAGAAAAGGCTGTTTTCCTTTAATAGCTTTCATGTCTTGTGACCAATTGACCTAAAACTGATTTCAAGTTATCGTACTAAGATGGGACAATAGACACGCCTCTTTATTTCCCTAATTTGTCCTCAGTAAAACAATTGATGACGCTCAGCTCAAACAATGTATCCCTTGTGTGAGCTACGCAATCTTCGTACGCCCACAGGCTGCATCAAATGTGAGTCATAGAAAACACAAACCTCAAAACAAAGAGGACTTGAGCACAAACCAGTCTTACAGTAACTTCATGTCAACATCACAACCAGGGGGGAGAACAAATTATATTCTGTGTAATAAATTTCTAAAGTTTGTCCACAGCCCCATAAGGATTGCTGAAGGTGGCGGGATTTATGACCTATACTGCAGCCCGTCACCAGAGGGTGCTGTTCTCGTAGGAGGCAGACACTGTCCATTCTATATACAGACTATGGTGCAATGTCTTTAAAGCGAACTGCCTCGAGTTAAATTGTTACCAAGTAAGGGTCCCCCCAGATTGTAATGCTGTCCCTGCAATAATAGATCAATGTACTGACAGAGCTCTGACATTTACAGCCTCAAAATTAAAGCCTGCCGTAGTTTAATTTCAGGACACCACTTCTTTAATTGGAGGTGGTGCCCTAAATTTCTTGGGGCACCTCTCCTGTGGTTGTAGAATATTAACTTCATAACTAATTAACTTTGAAACTCCACATCCCCAAATTAAGGTTGGATTGCCCTTGAGCAAGGCACTGACTGCTGCATAATTCCAGTCCAGCTCCACGTTGCCAACACTGCAGGACTCTGGTCAAAATTAATGTCCCGTGTGGGTGGGAATGAATGTAAATCAGGATGAAGTTAAAAAATGGATGCTTGGTCAGCAAAAAAACACTTCTTAAATAAGGTTAAAAAATAGTGCAGAGGGCAGCCAAACAAGTGGACTGGACTAGTGCCCAACCTCCTAAAACTCAAATCCTATTTCCTTCAAAGGAGGAAGGAAACAGACATGACTAAGAGTTTGATAGGAAACAGCTAGAAAATGTAATAACTCTGCATCTGTTTTATCAATTTAAGTGGGACTGTGATCTAAATCGGCTTTTTTTTCCCTCATTAATGCACATGACAAGGTGAAGAGTGGTACAGGCTGTGCATTTACAATCACAGGTCTCTGGAGTAATCTCTGTGAAAACACGTCAAAATGATAAGAGCAGAAATTACAGTTTAGTCTACCCCTCTTCTGCTCAAATCCTCTACTGTAAGTATTTTGACAGACAGTATCTTTTTATTTAACAGTCTAATAATGTCCCTGCCATTACCGAGTCAAAATATTGGAGAACATTTACCGCCTGTCTGGGAACTACAATATCAGCATCGCAGGATCTGTGCACATTGTCCTTTTATCACTGAAAACCAATAACTCTTCTTCTGCCGCCCCATTATTCCTCGTTAAAAGTCAATTTCACTCCGAATCGAAACACTTCACCTGTTTTTCTTTCCTGTGGAGCTACAAGCAGATATTAAAATGTTCATATCAGCGCGGGGAGGCTGTCTAAACAATAGAGGCGCCGGTTTTTCATTTTAGAGATGAGCGCTTTATCTTGATTTTACTAAGTGCTTAAATTTAAATCTGAAACAAACTGATTTTCCGTCCTGTTTGAATTTCTTTCAAAACAGTAAAACCCTAGATCATTTTTTTCCCTCTTTCTCCTTCTCTCTGTCCCTTCTTATCCTCATTTTTGTGCCTCATAAAGCTTTTACCCTGAAGGCTTCTCCTTTTGTTTTACCGCCAATCTCTCAGCTGCTTCCGAGAGGATTCAAACATTACCGACAGAAGACGAAAAAGATGAAAAGAAAGGATGAAACTTTGAGAACAACGGCTTCAAAGTTGCAGGTGAGGCAGAGTAAAGGCGTTACAGGAACATGAGGAGAGGAAAGAAAGGTGAAAGGGAGATAAAGAAAGAGAAAGACAGGTGAAAGAGAGAGAAAGGCTTGTGAAAGAATGAGGAAGGGCAATCGGGAGAAAAGAGGCTCCTCCCAGGGTTAACAGAAATTCTCCTGTGTAAATGAGAGCACACTGCTGGGGCTGCTACCTGAAAAAGAGAAGACGAGGAAAGAAAAGGAAGAAAGAAGCAAATCAATGTAACAAACAGGGTGAAAGAAGGAGCCATGCACTATTAATGAGAGCCCATTTTGCCTGATTGGGGGGAAGACAGGATAGAAAGGTCAGTGAATTGCCAGGCTGGGGTGGTTTGCTGCAGATGCACACCAGAAACTCTGATGAGTGCCGTATGAGAGGGAACATTGACCAGCCCAGCCTGCGGGCATATCCCAGTTAGCGCTGTGTGGAAATTACAGTTTAGAGTGGAGACGGAGACAGGCAGAGGGGGGGATGCAAGCTAGCAAGGACGTATGGGTCAGTGCTGCAGCAGACCGCAGACGCAGCGTGCTGTAGTCCGCCTCTAATTTAGCACTGTGATTGTCAGGTGAGGGTGCAGGGATGCTGAGAGGGAGGGAACCGCCATCTTGAAGTTGGAGCATATTGAACAGATGAAAAAAAAATCACCTCAAAGCTTGAATTAATGTTTGGATGATAAAACTGTCTGACACACCAGTGTTGAAAGGTCTCCTCACTAGTACCAGTACAAGGCTCTACACCAGGCTCACTGAATTTTAGTATTTATTAACCAGATGAATATATTTTTATTGTTGAGTGCAAAAACACAGAGTTAGACACCCCCTCCAGAGTTGAATGTTGCAGACTGCTTGCTTCTCTAGTTATACCAACTTCAGTAACGACTGCAGGACAGCAATACACAGCAGTCTATCACTCCACGCGCAAACCTCAACCTAAAAGCCACAAATAATGCTCAGATCAGCACCTAACTTCATCAACAGTACATATAGGGTCCTAGCCATAGTACTAGCCACCAAACATCTTTTTAGCTTTGCCTAATATCTTTCGCAAAGAGACCATACACAACTCACCCACTGTACTCCAGCAGCCGCTTGTTTGTGGGGGAGCCCTGACGAGTCAATCACCAAGTGCAGCCGATCATTTCCATGAGGTAAAAGTCATCATAATAATCAATTTGCATTGCAGACGTGGTAGTTCTTCTGCCTTAGCGTCTCGGTCTGATTGCATTACCATGAAGTAATAATCATAGATGTTCTTCCTTGAGCTGCGAAACTCCGCTGCCCTCGCTACAGAGTGACTTTTTGGTTGAGGTTTGTGTGTGGATCCATCGACCGCTGTGTATTGCTATCCTGCTGTTGTTACTAAAGTTGGTATAACTAGAGAAGCAAGCGGCTGGGAACATTCATCTCTCGGGGGGTGTCTAACTCAGTGTTTCGGTGTGTTTGACCCTCACTTAACTTTACGACAGTCTTGAACCATCTGTAGTCAAGCAGCTGATTTACTCCTCTAGTTAGATTGAAAAACATTTATTTATTAAGACAACAAAATATTGGTGGTGTTGAAAGTGTAGTTAGCAGCTGAACCACTTCTGTCAAGCTGCCGCTGCTGCTGCCAGCCCTGTCTCTTTATATTTGAGTTTGTACTTCATAAAAAGTAATAAATAATCCATTGTTCCAACTCATAGCTAGAACTCTGTCTTTCTATCCTGGATTTAAAACCCACGGGAGGTTGTTTAGGGCTAAATTGACACACAGAATTCATTTCAATAAGGCAAGACCGACTAGTGACTCTGTCCAGTGGGATATTAAGGCTCTGTAGTCACTTCAGAGCACATATTCTCGCATCTGCGTGGGGGGATTCACTTAAAGTTGTCATTTATTATTATTGACAGACTCAGCACATGCTAGGATAAGAGTGAGGGTGGATTGCACCTCCACAGTTACCCTGTGTGGGGTTTCTGGGGCAGATTAGAGCATGCCTGACAGGGAAAGGACAAACTCTGAGCTCAAATCCAAGGGAAGGGTCTCAGAGGTGGATTACTTTAGAATTTATCACAGTCAAGGCAAGACCAGCAGGTCACTCTCTAAACCCTTCTGAAGTGGTCCATGTATGAAAGCCGGTTCAAAAAGAGAAAAGAAACATGGGACAATGTTCGAGTCATGCATGCATGTTGGCCTTTGCCGAGTTAGTCCCTTGTGACCGATTCTGTCTGTGATGTTCATGTACAAGATGTCGAGGTGCAGTCAGGGAAGAGGGTCTGCAGTTTGGGGGCCTCAAAGATCCACCTCTCAAGGCTGGGACCTCCAAAAAACACTGGGGCAGTTTTCAGCTGAGTGCAAAGTGTCCGGAATGAGAACCTGCACCTCTGAATCTGTTGCCATGGGTTCTTACTAGAAAATCCATGATCCGTGTTCCAACCCTCACCTATGGAGAGGTAGTGACTAAAACAATGAGAATGTGGAGACAAGTGGCTGAATGAGTTTCCTCAAGAAGAGTGGCTGGGTTCATCCATGGAGGGTTAGAAGCTTGGAGGAGAGCTTCTGCTTCTTCTCATTGAAAGGAGTCATCCTAGATGCCTCCTGGACACCTCCCTGGTGTGTCCAGAGGGGAGGAGACCTCAAGGTAGGCTAAGGGCTTGCTGGAGGGATTTTATATCCCAGGTGGCATTTGAGCACCTTGGGATCTCATGGGTAGAGAGGGAGAGGTCTGACCCCCAATTTCCAACACATCCAGAACAGCTCCACTGCGGAACGGTGGCATTTTTCGCCGTCTGCCAGTTCCTACCAGATGCGTTTTTGAGAAGAATTTTGTGGCGGATATCGAACAGCTGGAAACGCAAGAACTCACAAGAATTCGGGGATTCACATGCAATCACCCGATAACGAGTTGTCGCGATAATGACAGCCACATAGCCATAAAAGCAGTAGATTACGTTCTTCCAGAGGAGGAAATCCACTTCTAGACTTCTAGAACCAGCATCTCCTCATCCATGGTGTCAACGGGGTGAAATGATGTCTGAAAACCTTTGACCTGTTCGTCCCCGCCCACGTTTGCATGTGTCTGTGCCTGACGTCACTAATCTGTGCTGAATTTATCCGGCATGCTGCAGCGTCCAGAAAAAAAAGGACTCTTGCGATCAGCTGCGGAGTCCGGCAGCGGAACGGAAAGAAGCCGGTGGAAATTGACACATTAACTTGAATGGAAACGATTGGCTGTGATCGGCGCATTTTTGCCACCATTCCGGATGTAGTGGAAATTGGGGGTGAGTGGACTTCCAGAGGCTGCTGACCCCATGACCAGATCCCAGATTAGCAGAGGAAAATGGGTGGATGGAAATCTTACTTGGAGCAACATTATAGACTAAATTTGTGCTTATGAAAATAAAATTAATCTGAAAACTTTTTTTATTTGACAAAGAGGGTCCGTCTCTGAAGAGGGGATACAAAAAATAACCAGTATTAGCTTTATGTACAGGACAGCTGGCCTCAAAACAATAGATCACCATCACTCTAAGGAGAATCTGAATCTCTATAATATCACAGATTGAACATTTAAAATGCAGTATGCGTGAGGAGTCTCCAAGGTTTGAAGGTGTCTCATGTCCTCTGGACATTTTTCTGTATTCATTCAAATCCCCATGGAAACATTTTCAATCAGGCATTTTTGTGGCCACACCAAAGTTTTATCTCTGGTCTTTAGTGTGGTTCTTATGTTCACAGGAGACCATTTAAAATGAAGCTAATACCTCTACCTGGGCTTATGGCTCACATTTGAATAAATCCTGGAGATAAGACTAAGAAAGGATTGAAAGGATTATACGTCATTATCCAGATCTGTTTTTATTGATGGAAACAGAAAAGAGAAAAGTGGCGAAGGAGACACGTATTTGCTGTCTGAGTGGCAGAGCGCTGCTGCAGGTCTTCCTGAAAAATGAAATTATGTGATTGTCTCATTGGCGGGGAGTTAAAGGACTCGCACTGAATAGGAAAATCCTGTTGTCGGGACCAAAGGGGAAAGGAAAGCTTTTAAAAACATATTATCTCTAACAATAGATCCACCTAGGGCCATGTGTGATACATGAGAAGGATTATTCGGACTTGAAAGTTATCACAGCCTTTCTCTGTAAAGAAACCATATTGTGATTCTCTCCAACCAGTCCTCTGATATTCAATAAGCCCACTTCTGGCGAATGAGATGTGAAATTGCCTGCTATCAATATAAGGCCCCTTGGTAAAAGGCATTTGCAGATCCCTCTCAATTGGATTGTTCCACCATTCATTTCTGGTGCCTGAGTTAATGACCATTATGAATGCAGAGCTGGCTCGGCGGTGACCATGACTCCAGGAAGGTGTTTAATAGGCCTGCAGGGAGAGCCAGGTAAAGCAATCCAGAGCTGTCCATGTGAGAGAAAGAACTCGGTTTCATAATTTCCAAGGAGTGTTTCTGAGGAAGGAGGGAGAGATGCTCATGAAGGAGTGATAACGCAGTTTTTAATTTAAGTACGTTTGCAGTTACTAACGTTTTTGCAACGTTAGACGATGAGGTGAGTTTGGAGACCATTATCAGTTTTATGCCTACATGAATTTCAATCAGGTTATACAAACTGCACATATCCTATTTCCTTACTTTGAGGGAAAAACGCCCCTGAGTGCCGCGGTGGTGCACTCCAGCAGCATTAGACACATATAGGGATGGTGCTGCAACATGAGTGCAACAATAAATGTAATTTATTTGTATGCAGGCTCATATGTATGTGAAACAACTCTGCCTTTTGCTCTCCTCATCCTCCAGTCAAAATCAGACCTTTCTCACAAGTTAGGTCAGTAAGTGTTGCTAAAGGTCATATGAAAAACGATGATTGTTTAGCTTTTCTGGCCTCGGGCTGATCAGAATGTTAAAGAATAGCATTAATGCATTAAATTAATGCATTACTGACAAATGCCATCCCATTTCAGTGCAAAGGGTCAGAACATTTTAGTCCAAATGTTCTCCGTCTTCAAACTTTTTCAATCAATAAATCAGAAACTGGTGTCATAGTTTTGCTACTGTTCAAAACTGTCATGATTTGGGGTGCGCAGATGGCTGAGCAGGTTAGCACGCCCAATGATAGGGAATCACAGTCTCTGCAGAGGTTGCGGGTTTGAGTCCGGCCCCAACCATGTGCTGCATGCCCTCCCTCCTCTCTCTCTCTATCTCCCCACATTTTACTCTATACTTTCAATAAAAATCAAAAATCCCTCCCAAAATACTTAAAAAATAAAATAAAAAATTGTAGTGTTTCACTCTTTCAGCACTTAAACTTTTGTAATATCTGGTTTCCTTACCTGAGTTACATGGTTTTCGCTCAGACTCTCTCTCTCTCTCTCAAAAGCTTTGCTGCTGTGCTGTCCTTACTGATATGCTCAGGTAATATAAAAGACTGAATCTTACTCCAAGTCAAAAATGCTTTCTGTGGACATCATGGAAAGTTTTTCTTTTCTTTAGCTTCCGTTTCTGGGGTGAGGTGGGGAGTCTGGGCTCAAACCTCCATCCACTGCTCCGTCTCAGCCTCATCTCTAATGATTTGTTGATAGTTTATCATTGCTACGAAACATCCCATGAAATATGTTCTCTATTGTCTCCAAACTTTAAACCAATTTAGTTCGTCATCATCCCCTCTTTATACTGTGAAAAGGTCATTGAAGAGCGTTTACCCTGTTTATCATCACCTTACTTTCTTGAATGGAGGTTTACTAGTGCATATTTAAAACACAACCACGTTATTTGACACTTTTTTCTGTCAGTTTTCATGACTCTGAGGTGTCTTTTAAACATCATTCTCCGAGTCTAAGGCTGCTGTATAAATTGGCTTCAATGAATAAATAATTAAGACTGTGCATGCAGGAAGAAATACGGGTTCAATTAACCTCCTACTCAGGTTCTCTTTGTCTTATTTTAAGTACCAACCCGCTGCTAATCTGCAGTCAGAGCGATGTGTTTCGTTTTCTTCTGCTTGTATACGATGCTGAGATGATAAGTCAGTTTGATCAAAATCTGTTCACTTCCTTTTGACAGGGGATGTCTAAAATACTATGACCTACTTCTTTTACAGCTAGTGGACATAAGTTGCATACTGTGGCTCATCTATCAAGGAGAAAATATCACAAATATGGTCATTTTCCATTAACTGCATAGAGCTGCCATGAACATTTCTAGAGATTTGCTGTTTTTTCGATAAAGACAAATGCAAATATGAAATCTAACAGAAATGCGTTCAAAGTAAAACTTGTACTTGTGATGATAATTCAAGCTGCTGCATCCATTTGTAAATATTACTCCCGACCATAACAAGTTCAGTCATTTCCAAAACGGAGGAAAAAATGATTCAAATCATCAGGATAATTTAGTTCATCACATCTGTCTTCCTATTTCCTCAACTGCCTGTTTATATTTCATTGCAAACTCAAGGAAAATATCAAATTTCTCAATAATTCAAAGCTATCAAACTTTCATGTGCCTTGCTTGTATTCAATGAAAGAGGGTTCTTGCAAAAAAATAAAAAAATTAACCTATAATCAGCAACCCCAGAGCAGAGAGGACGAGGGGAAACAGATAATGAATAAATTAAACTCAGGCAGCTGACAAATGAAGGAAAAACATCAGGGACTCCTCAGATAAGAAAGAGTGCATTTCTGAGATGAAATTAATGAAATGTTTATGTGTGGGGGGACTTCATAGGGAAAGAGAGGGATAATAATTCACTTTACGTCTCGGGGGTTGCCCCCACACAAATAAGACAATAAAAAAGGAGGATATGAAAATGAAATTAGCTTCATTTTTTTGTTGACCATGAGCTTGAGATGAAAGCAGACTTGAGCTATACCGGCTCAGACATGCTGTAGAGGCGAACACGAGAACAAATTTCAGTTTCAATTACAAACGCTGAAAGAAGAAGAGTCCATAATACCAACGTCTGCGTGCTCGGGCCACATCATGGCATGGGAATATTTTTATATGATGAAGCTTAAAGCCCTCACACTCAGAGAAAGAGTCACAAAAGAAAGTTCTAATCACCTTACACACAACAAGCTGTCCCCTCTCTGTCTCACATCTCCTGGTGAACCTTAAAGGGATATTCTGGCTTAAAATTAAGTTAGGGTCAAACACACCGTAACACCAAGTTAAAGACCCCCTCGAGAGATGAATGTTGCCGACTGCTTGCTTCTCTAGTTTTACCAACTTTAGTAATGACCGCACGATAGTAATACACAGAGGTCTGAGGAGCCATAAACAAACCCCAAATAAAACGCCACTCTTTAGCCACAAATAATGCTCAGAACAGCACCTAACTTCATCAACAGTACATATAGGGTCCCAGCCATAGCACTAGCCATCAAACATCTTTTTAACTTTGCCTGATTTCTTAAGCAAAGAGACTAAACACAACTCACCCACTCTCCCTTAGCAGCCGCTTGTTTGTGGGGGAGCCCTGACGAGTCGATCACAGAGTGCAGCGGAGTTTCACAGCTCAAGGAAGAACATTTATGATTATTACTTCATGGAAATGGAATCAGACTGAGACCCTAAGGCAAAAGAACTACCACGTCTGCAGTGCAAAATGATTATTATGATGACTATTACTTCAAGGAAATGATCCGCTGCACTTGGTGATTGACTCGTCAGAGCTCCCTCACAAACAAGCGGCTGCTAGAAGAGAGTAGGTGAGTTATGTTTGGTTTCTTTACTTAAAAAAACAGGCAAAGCCAAAAAGATGTTTGGTGGTTAGTACTGTGGCTGGGACCCTATATGTTCTGTTGATGAAGTTAGGTGCTGTTCTGAGCATTATTTGTGGCTATAGAGTGGCGCTTTGGTTGAGGTCATTACTAAAGTTGGTATAACTAGAGAAGCAAGCAGTCGGCAACATTCATCTCTTGAGGGGTGTCTAACTTGGTGTTACAGTGTGTTTGACCATAACTTATTTTTATGCCAGAATATCCCTTCAAGTTGCATTATAAGCATTTATAAATGTGTTTATGAAGTTTATGAAGTGGTTAACTGTCTAATAATGCGTCTTACAAAGATCGTGATATAAGGTATGATCGTTACGCCTCGTAAAAGAGCATCCAATGCGGTGTCGGACTTCTAACCACGGCTGATTTGCAGGTTTGTCCCATGTTAGGCTTCTGGAAATGAGGCGCATGGTTATTAAAACTGCACAACACGCTTGAAAACTGAAGCAATTTAGTGCTCTGTATGGTAATGATGCATGCTATCAAAAAGTACATCAACCTATTTATCAATATTCACCTGATCAAGACTGGTAATACTGGAATATTGAAATCATTTAAGTATTGGTGAGTGTGTGAGCGTGCTGGCTTGCCTTTATTGTTGCTGTTGTTGTGGTTTCCCTGCACCTTCATGATGTGCATATTAATACCCCTCTTATATTACCATATTTGCAAATTACATTTAACGTGACACATATTACAAAACAAAGAGCGGCTCTTGTTGAAGCCTCTTGCACTTCCCTGCTCATATCCGCAGCACATTTCATTTCCACAAAACAATAATATACTTTATGCCCTTCTTTGCAGTATGGTTACATCTTAATTAACTGTGATGCCTTTATTGCTTCTGTCTGTGTGAGGGGCTGCATCTGTTTAAAGATTAAAACTGCTTTTTATTGGTGTCTGTGTACTTTCGAGAAGATGGAGCTGCAGTGGCGCTCGGGACGCTGCAGTCATTTCGAGCTGTTTTTTGAGTTCCAGTGAGTTAAATTCCTGCTGGAGGTGGTGGCATTTATCTGTCAGTGTGACCACACAGCATGCACTAGTATTCCACGCAGCTCAGCAGATTGATTCGCCTCAGTCCTGCTTGGCTTTGGCAGATCCTCAAACTGCATCGATTTGGACAAACAAATCCAGTTTTCTGCATTACTCAAAAGTTGATTCAGGTGCATCATTTAAATTCAACAGAGGGAGACCGCCATCTGGTCATATCTGTCACGTTATATAATCACTTTTTCTCTCCCTAAAGTTTTCAATCACTTTATGTGCCACTCTGCTGCTGGCGTTCAGAAAGAAGGAGGATAATGTCACAGCTTGTTTGTGGCAATGTCCTACGTAACCTTAGAGAGAAAGTTTAATACTAATGGAACTTATGCAACCTGCTGTTATTAGAGAGGGGTATTGTGCTCATTTTCAGGCTTTGTGTTGCCCCTCAGATACAAGGTATTTACAAGCTCTTAAACTATCTCAGGCATCTTTGAAAACCCTAATTTTAGCTTCTGCTTGGACAGCTACATTTGGAAAGTAAGACAGAGGAAAAAAAGCTAGCAGTACCCAAATGTAACTTACAGTGACTTTACTCCTAAATATGTTTAATCTGGATCGTTTACCAATCTGATGTTTCGAATATTTCCTTTTGTTATTTTCATAAATAGAAAAATTAGCCTCAGAGGCAAAAACAAACAAACAAACAAACATGAAAACATCTGTACTCAACTGTACTGGGCCCTTATGGGAACCCCCTACTCTTGTAGCCAAACCCTAGAGATCACTGAGGAATCTGTATTTTCTTTTTTACTTTCACCATGGCACCATTATATACCATTGATAACTGCTTATAATTTTCATAAATTTTAAAATTAAGAAATGGGCCCTTATGAGAACCCCCTACTCTTGCAGCCAACCCCTAGTGGTCACCCAAGGAACTGCATTTTTTTTTTTTGTCAATACTTGCACTTGGCTACATTATTATTATTATTTTTTTTTTTGCACTTCCAGTATGGCTTTATTATATGTCCTTATTAACTGCTTGTAATTTTCATATATTTTGACTTTTAAACAATGGGCCCTTATGAGAACCTCCTACTCTTGCAGCCAAGCCCTAGTGGTCACCCAAGGAACTGCATTTTTTTAATCAATACTTGCACTTGCAGTATGGCTTCATTATACATCCTTAATAACTGCTTATAATTTTCATAAATGTGGACCTTTAAGCAATGGGCCCTTATGGGAATACCTACTCTTGCAGCTAAACCCTGGTGGTCACCGTGGGAACTGCATTTTTTTTTTTGTTTTTTTTTGCATTTCCAGTATGGCTTCATTATACACTCACCGGCCACTTTATTAGGTACACCTGTCCAACTGCTCGTTAACACTTAATTTCTAATCAGCCAATCACATGGCGGCAACTTAGTGCATTTAGGCATGTCGACATGGTCAAGACAATCTTCTGCAGTTCAAACCTAGCATCAGTATGGGGAAGAAAGGTGATTTGAGTGACTTTGAACGTGGCATGGTTGTTGGTGCCAGAAGGGCTGGTCTGAGTATTTCAGAAACTGCTGATCTACTGGGATTTTCACGCACAACCATCTCTAGGGTTTACAGAGAATGGTCCGAAAAAGAAAAAATATCCAGTGAGCGGCAGTTCTGTGGGCGGAAATGCCTTGTTAATGCCAGAGGTCAGAGGAGAATGGCCAGACTGGTTCGAGCTGATAGAAAGGCAACAGTGACTCAAATAACCACCCGTTCCAACCAAGGTAGGCAGAAGAGCATCTCTGAACGCAAAGTACGTCGAACTTTGAGGCAGATGGGCTACAGCAGCAGAAGACCACGCCGGGTGCCACTCCTTTCAGCTAAGAACAGGAAACTGAGGCTACAATTTGCACAAGCTCATCGAAATTGGACAACAGAAGATTGGAAAAACGTTGCCTGGTCTGATGAGTCTCGATTTCTGCTGCGACATTCGGATGGTAGGGTCAGAATTTGGCGTCAACAACATGAAAGCATGGATCCATCCTGCCTTGTATCAACGGTTCAGGCTGGTGGTGGTGGTGTCATGGTGTGGGGAATATTTTCTTGGCACTCTTTGGGCCCCTTGGTACCAATTGAGCATCGTTGCAACGCCACAGCCTACTTGAGTATTGTTGCTGACCATGTCCATCCCTTTATGACCACAATGTACCCAACTTCTGATGGGTACTTTCAGCAGGATAATGCGCCATGTCATAAAGCTGGAATCATCTCAGACTGGTTTCTTGAACATGACAATGAGTTCACTGTACTCAAATGGCCTCCACAGTCACCAGATCTCAATCCAATAGAGCATCTTTGGGATGTGGTGGAACGGGAGATTCGCATCATGGATGTGCAGCCAACAAATCTGCAGCAACTGTGTGATGCCATCATGTCAATATGGACCAAGCTCTCTGAGGAATGCTTCCAGCACCTTGTTGAATCTATGCCACGAAGAATTGAGGCAGTTCTGAAGGCAAAAGGGGATCCAACCCGTTACTAGCATGGTGTACCTAATAAAGTGGCCGGTGAGTGTATATCTTTGATAACTGCTTATACTTTTCATAAATTTTGACTTTTAAACAATGGGCCTTTATAGGAACAACCCTTAGTGGTCACCGAAGGAACTGCATTTATTTTTTTATTTTTTTATTTTGATGCCCTCTCAAATAAAACGGTCAGTCATATTGTCTATTTGTCCTTGCGTAAGTTTGGTGTCTGAACACTAAGCAAATGTATTTCTCACTTTAAATCTTTATCCCTCCTGGCTGTGGTTTCAAGCATTAATAATAAAATACAGTACAGTTAGTCTTTTGGCTGATCGTCTCGGATGCTTTTGTAGGTCATACTGAGACATCTGTTTCACAGGAGATTTAATGCGGTAAAAATTAAATATTATTCCTAATGTAATGAAGCCAAATGTAATTTCTCCTCCTTGCCTCAACTTTTCAACTCCCCTGTCCAAACTTTTCAAGTTCCCTGGAAGTTTCACAGTTTTTAAATAAGGTTCAACCTCAAATAAACCTTCACAAGTAGCAGGGAGGTCTCCCTTTACTTAGATTCTGGATGCAATTTGTGTGCTTAAATTTGCCAACCAATCACCCAAAAGTAAAGGACACCCCAGGGGGAGAACCGGGCTTATTGACTCCGGCTTACAGAGTTTAGCAGCCAGTCAGACTGAAGAGCTTTGACTCAGCTTTCTGAGCTTCAAAGTCATCAAAGACTCAGCCAACATCATGTTAATTTGCCTGCAGCAACTATTTTTACACTTGAAGAAAGTAGATTTGAACTATTAAAACATCAATGCTGTACTACTGTTTAGATATCTCCTCAACAAGTCTTTCATTCTGATGATTTATGAAAACAATTAGAGGACATTTAGTAGCCAAAAGAGATGACAGGAAAATGATTAGAATAAGAAAAAGCAAAGAACAACAGAAGACGGTGTTGAGGGGAGAAGCGGCTGAAAGAAACAGAGTGAGGCTGCAGAAATGAAGAGTCACAGGATGATAAAGGAAGTGAGGACGCAGGAGAGGATGCAGCAGATTTAGAGAAAAGGAGATAGAAGAGGAGACAGAGATGGAAAAGGGAGGAGGAAGATTGATAAAGGATGTGATAAAAGGAGACACCTCAAGAGGAATGAGAGCGGGAAAGAAAGGTTGTGTGGAGACAGAGACAGAGAAGACAAGTGTAAAAGTCTGGCAGGGAGTAAAATGAGAGCAGATCTGTGTTATGCACACACACACACACACACACACACACACACACACACACACACACACACACACACACACACACACACACAGAAGGGGAGAGTGGTGCTGGGATCACCATCCCTCCCAGTTTGAGAGGACCATTAGCGGTGTGTCTGCCTCCGATTTCTGCCCATTCCTATTACCATCACAGCTGGACGCAGCCAAGTGTGAGACCTCTGTGCAGACACTCTTCTCCTCTCCTTCTGTACACACGCACGCACACACATGTACAGCATGTACTGATGCATACCTACACCCGTAAGGTATAGAAACACGATGCATGAACCTTTTTAATGCCTGAGCTCATGTTGATTTTGCAGATGTGTCACACACTCTGTAAGACACAGCTCTTTCTGCCGTTTCGCCCAGCACCCTCTCTCTCCCCACCGAGTTCAAACCCAGGTTAGCTGCTGACTCCAGCCCGGCTCACGCTGCACCTCCTGCTCCGTCAAGCACGAAGTCTTATGGAGGGACAGGGTGGAAAAACAAATAAAATATCTGCAACAACATTTGAAAAAGACAGGGCTGGAGCGGAGCCTTTCCCCCCCCTTCAGGCTGTGCTCTGTGTCAGGTGGTGTGTTCCCTCGTAAGCAACCGCCCTTATGAATGATTTGTGAGCACTCAATTATTGACGACGCTTCAGAGATCTGATGAGGTGCAGGGAGCCGCCTGGTTGGATGGTCAGCTTGGCTGGATGATTTCCAGAGACCAGACAGGACTTTTGTGATTCCGGTAAATGCACAAATGTTTCCCCTTGGGTGCCTGATGCATGACGAGATCATAGCCGGTAATAGTATGTGATGAATGCATACGTGTGTGGAGTTTGTATGTAAACCCACGACTCCAGGGTCTCATGAATAGCTCAAGGAGAAGGGATTGTATCACTGCTCTAAATGTGATTAATTAAAGAAGTTCTTTGCATATGATTAGCATCAAGATGTGTGTGTTTGCATGAACATCATTATAACCGTGCTGTGCCTCTGCTGTTCTACATAAAGTTGTCTAATTGGTTTACATCATCACCTGTGGGTTTAATCTTCACGCCCCATATATCTGTGCAGTCTGAGTTCTATTCATAAATAATATAAAGCGCCTGTGTTCAAGACGTTCAGGGGGCTTTTATTACATTTGTGGACTTTGATGTTTCCACTGCCGTTCTGAAAGGTCTTTATTAGATCAACAGCTGTAACAAGAGCTCCAGCAGATTCCCCCTCAGCTGTTTACAGAGGTTTCAACACCAGCATGAAATATAGAAAAGCAGAGATGTGGAGTAAAAGAGGAAAAATGGTCGAGAGCGAGAGATGCTTATAGCTGCTAAAGACTGTTACAATGAGCAAGATAAGTGGGTTAAGTAGGAGGAGAGAGCAGTGGAGGTGAGGGAAGAAACAAAAGTGGAGAAGGAGAAAGGGGGACGAGGCCAAGACACCAACATGCCCTACTTCCTCTCTTTACCCTTCACTTATACCTGCAGTTTTTCAAAGTCAAGATCACCTCCTATTGAACAGCCAGACTCTGTTCTGTCATTTCTCTGAATCAGCCTGTATCACCTTCGGAGTACCTCAAGGCTCTATGTTGGGGCCTTTACTGTTTGCTCTTCACATGCTCCGTCTGGTCCCCATTTTCTAAAAACACAACATTTCACGTCATCATCATTACACAGACGCCACAAAGAGGCCCATGTGGTAATGTCAGAGCATCAGTTCAAACTCTCCTCAACTGTCCCATAATGTAGAACAGTGGATGGCAAATAAGTCCCAACTTGGGATGTAAGGGTCACCCGTGTAATGGTAAATCGGGATAAAGATGTTGATGATGATTATTGTTTTCATTTCAAAAACCAGTGAGGGTGGGTTGTAATGAATCAGCTGTGACATAGCCAACTATTACTACCTTATTAATCAGCTGTGTGATCAAGGACGATAACTCATTAATGCTAATACTCGGCACGAATGCTCTGTGGTGTGTCGTACGTATGTAAGCCTATACTGATACATATGAGTCCGAAAACTCATTTTTAAGGTGTGGTGGTTTTTATTTAGCCGTGGCGGTCAATTGCATGTAGGGAAAACCCGTGTTAATCATCCCAGCTTCAGGAGTCTCCTGAAGTAGCTGCGTAGGAGCACTGTGTAGCCTACAATTTATGTTTTCTATTAAGTTTGAAATGGAATCATAGCAGAAAGAGGGCGCAACAGCACCAAGGAAAATTCATCAACCCTTTAAGAGGACCAAGTGGGAAGTGTCATGGGCTACTCCCCAATAAACTCTCAGACGCAGTTGATTCACCTCTTCAAGTTTACTGAGGAATCTTGTGAAACTGAAATGATACAGTAACATATAAAACAATGAGTTACAGCTTACACACAAACAAGCAGTAGAGCTAAGCTACATTAGCTTTAGCCGATATAATCACAAACAAGCTAGAATGCCGCTAGCAACGAAAAACATGAAGCTAACTTCGGGTAGCATTAGCATTAGCAATTAGCGCCATAGCCGTTTTAACAACTTAATTACACTTCAACTTTCATCTTAATACAACAACATATCAACACTTGCAGACGTTGCATGGACTAGAGGGATGAAGACGGAGGAAAGGAGAGGAGCTTAGAACTGAACTGCTGACGGACCTCGCGAACCTGCGCACAATAACTTCCTGTTTCTTGCTGACTCGCCGGCTACGTGTTGCCATGGCAACGCGATGTAAACAACTCACACTAGAGCGCAAAAACACTTCAGAAAGACGCATTCAAGCAGCACAACACACATTCAAGCAACATTACAGAAAGTGTGGGCATATTTTGGGTTTTGTAGGAATGTCAAGGGACGCTTAGTTGAAGACAGTAGCCTTGTTTTCACGCTAGTTAAAAGCATCAAAAATGCCGTAATCAATGCCTTTGAAAACATTTTTAAAAATACCGAGATAATACCAAAAACCGTGAATTTTTTGGTCACAATGCCCGTGAGGTAGAACTTTCATACTGTTACATCCCTATCCCTAACAACTTAATGAGAGCAAATTTGAAATAATGCTGCAAAATGATGTGACACAGTAAATCCATTTGTTTGTGCTGTTAAGAGTTTGTGAGGGTGATGTTGTGTGGTTGATGGTACACAGCAAAATGTCTACTGCCAATGTAAAGAGTCTTAACTTGGTTATCAGCTGTTTGTTCCCAAATCTTCCTTCTTTAATTTCAACTGGCAATACTTATCCAAACGCAACCTTTGTCAGTTCAAATGTAATTCAAATTAAATGTTTATTTCATGTCAAAATTTGTTACTGTGACTGATTGGTAGAGTCTAAGATATTGACCTGGATCATTTTAAGAAACACTGATTTGATACTGGGGAGCAAAAATCTCTATTAAACATTGTCAAACTTTGAGATACGTCATAAAAGTATTTCTAAAAGTCTTGCTAGGTGATCAATTCTTCTTCTTCCAGCTTTGTTTAATGACTGGCTTAAGTTAGAAAATTAGAGAGACTGACAGAGTGAGGAACATGAAGAGGAAACAGACAGAGACCGAGAAGAGAGAGAGAGAGAAAGAAGGTGACAGCAGGAGACTTTTACAGCTTGATAAGAGAAGCAGCAGAGACAGACAAACAAAACAGAAGGTCAGTGACAAAAACAGAGTTGTCTCAGTTTCCTCACTAAGGATCAGGTCGAGGCAGAGCTGCTCTGCTAGATTAACCATCGCTGGAGTCTTCACTCGGTGCAGCAGGCCAGCAGAGAACCAAGTAAAAACCAGTCCCAGACCCTGGCTCCCTGCCCCCGACAAATAAACCTCATAATGGAACTCTATTGGGCTCCAAGTGGGAACATTCATTTTCATTACAGCGGGTTTATTTGTCCCCACATGCCCTGATGCTGCAGTGCAGGTGAGCTCAGGTGCAGGATCCAGGGGGGGCGAGAAGGGGTAAAAATCAAAGTGAGAAAAAAGGTGAAAAACAAAAAGAAGTGGGAAGTCAGGCGAAGGGAGATGTCTCATCCCTCAGCTAGCATTCCCTCTGTTTTTCTCAGTTTGAGCTGCTCTGCTCCTCACGTGTGATATTCATCTTCATCACAAGATGGGAAAGCATAATTTCATTTTTGGGTCAGGCAGATGGTACCTTTGTTAAGGAGATTAATTACCTCGCAGCACAACATTAATAAAAGAAAACATTTGAAGGGGAAATGCAATTTGCCCTGAGTGCAGGACGAGTGTAAATAGGTGAGTCAGGGCCAGAGAAGGCAGATCGCCCGTGGGTGGATCATAATTTATTCTCTGTGTAAGCCTGTTGAGCTTGAAGCTGGCAGAGTAGAGTCGACGGATAGACTAATAGGCATTCAGCCGCCTGGCACCAAACCGGGATCACAGCACGCACCAAGCCAAGACAGGGTTCACCTTTATCCTTCTTCCTAAAGGCTTGTTTCATTTATGTATTTATCAGATGCTGTCGAGGAAACTTGTTGAACTTTTTAGACTAAATCTGGTAAACAAGTGTCACCTTTAACCTATTGATGTAGACGACTGTGTAGATCTGAATGTTAAGTGAACATTAATATTTATTTATAATATAGACCCATCAGCCATAGCATGACCACTTGACTGTGGAGGATCAAATCAGGACCAAAATCGCCCTGACATAACTGCAGTCTCTCCTCAGCGTCCCTTTACTCCATCATATCTTAGGTTCCTATCGACTATTAGCATTAGACTATTGCTGCATTCCAGTTGTACTCAGAAGTCAGGATTTCCGAGTTCCGAGTCGGAAATTCATCTAGAATGCCCCCATGAAGTCGTATTTCCGACTCGGAAAGTCGAATGATCCCCACCAACCCTGACTGTGAACACGGTGCTATGGTGTTTGCAGAGTAAAATACTGTGTTGTGCGTTGTTTACAACTGACAACCACTAACGACAACTAACAACCACTTGATTTTCTGACTTCTTAACTGGAACGCTGTCAACTCTGGTGTAATGTCATTCCCAGCTCCGACATCCGACTTCCGAGGTAACTGGAACTAAGCATATGTTTACATGGGCCTGGCTATTTTCATAAAATGGCATTTCACCCTCTCTGTTTACAAAAAAAACTGCGTGCACACCACTACGTTTTTAGAAAAGTTTTTGTTTACTCTAACCCGTGTATATGGCGAGAAGCTCAAGCCAACCTTAGCCAATCAGAATCCTGCATAGCAGCAACAACACCAACCTCACTTCCTTCTTTCCGGCGCACAATCTGCCGTCGGCTACCCAAATCTTAATTTTTCTCTGTTTACATGCAAACGTACATATGGAGTTTGTTAAAAGCATCATTTTCAGGGGCCAATTCTCAGTTTGCGTGGAAACATAGGGTGCAAACGATGGTTAATGTCTCGTTTTAAAAAAAGAACCGGGTACGTATAAACGGGGCCTTAATCACACCTCTGTCCATATCTCTCTTTCTGCATCTACCTCTATCTCTTCTCTAAACTCAATGCAGGAGCAACAGATGATTGTCTAGCATGAGTCTGGTTCTGCTTGAGGTTTCT